AGATCAAGAAGTTCATTATAAGATCCAAGGAAACAAACTGTTACTGCAGATCATGCCCTCATATGCCTCAACCCAAATGCAGAGGGATCTTACTAGGGGAAGAGAAGTCTGACCATTACCTAAGCTATATGGGGAGGAAAATAGGTGAAAAGAAAGAGAAATCACTCAGAATGCCCATTACTTTTTTATCCACAATGAAGGACTATCCTATTCTGTGGATGGATAGGAATCATAAATTCAGAGCGGAAAAATAAAATCACAACATATTGCTAAGTCATGTAGTTTTCTTTTAGTTTTCTTTCTATACAACATCCCTTGCGAAGTTATTGAGGTAACTTAAGAAGGAGCCTTTAATTACCAGCACGGAGAATGAACGTATAGAGTATTGTAAGGCTGAAAGAAGGAAGAAATTACTTGCATGGGTGAGAGCTGCACCTACGAAATCCAATTCTCATGCTTCATGCTTCCGTGTTAATTACCTACTATCATACTACCAGATTTTTCTTCCCGTTCAACCCAGGAGGCCTCAATCACTTAAAAACCACACACAGGTACTTAGTAGTCACAAATGAACGGACTTTGAAGTTTCAACAGGCAAAACTGTTGTCTGAGGTCCAAAATATTAAGGCTTCATTAGTCACAAAATAAAGCAGGACTTCACAACCTGAGTTGTAGGACTAAAAATATATACATGTATACACACACAGAGGCCTGGTAAATACACCTCTTCCAAAAAACACTCCCAACACTTCTGTATCAGGTTTCATCACTACACAGGTTGACATTTAAAGTCCACAGGTAATGCCCTCTCTCTGCCTCCTCCCAACCTCACTTCTATCCTGGGCTTCCCGAGTTATTAAAAGCCCACCCGCGTGCATACACACTGTGCAGTAAGTACGCCTGCTGCATCCCGTGACATGATGCACACACGAGGGAGAGTGAATCAACACATATATAGCCAGGGTCAGAATTCTGACAGCACATGAAGAAATAAGCAAATGAAACAGTACAGCCATGGATGACAAACAGCAATTACAAACACAAGCAGCAGACTTGGCAGGAACACATCATAGTGTCTAAAGGCCACATGAGTTCATACCAGCACTTTTAAGTCAGATACAGTTTTCAAAGTCTTAGAACTGAGCTTTACATTTAGGGCACTGAAAGAGGTACTTAATTTTAAAGTCGCAAGCCTATATATTAAAACAAATATTTCAAGACTGTTTTGTCTGCTAATGAACACCACTAAGCTCTGTTTATTTATAAACAGAGTACTATACTACCGATACGCGACAGAAGAAATGAGAAACAGTTCATTGCTCTCCACTGAAAATGCCTGTCAATGGCTGCCACACTGGTTTTAAAAACAGCCATTCTCTATGTCTTAAAATAGTAAGACCAGCAGTAACTGAAGTAGATGGTGAAATATGTTTCACTTCTTTCTTGTTACTATTTTTCCCCATTATTCTATTTTAATTATAGCTGTAACAGAAAATAGTGCGAATTACATATTTAATATAGAGCCAAGAAGTCCTGAAAGGCTTGCCCAGGTTCAGATACTGCTCTCTATTCTTCAAATCTGAAAGTACATACATCATAAACGTTGGCTGCTGTTCTAGTGAGCTACTAAAAACTCTAAATGCAATGCAATTTGATGGATGCTGCTTCAAGACAGTAAACATTCACCCAATATGTAAAACACACCAAGAAAAAGGTTATTTGGAAATAATAAAGTTTAACTGTTATTGCACAGATTTCTGTCATATGAAAAAATGATGACTCTCACACAAACACCTCAAATTCCGTGGATTTTGTAATCTGTACATAAGTTCAGAATAGTTTGTGCATGGCTTTATTTTTACATGTGAACCTAATTAATAGAGGTGTCTCTTCTGTTACCAAAACCAGGTGCTAATGGCGAGATCTATGCTGGAACTACAATGTCTGCTCTCTAACCTGACGCGTTGCTCAATTTTTAGCTCCCGACACAAAGTTGGTGCCGCCACGGACATCAAAGTGACCAACTCCTCGCTGTTCCTCAGCAGCGGCTTCTCCCGCACGAAATCTCCCCGGAAAGGAGGCGGAAGGAAAGGGAGCGTGTGCTGGAGCTGCCTCAGCCCGGCGAGGCGCCTTCCTCCAGGCGCAGTTCCCGGCCCCGAGCCCCTTCCCTTCCAGGGCCGCCCCCCGCACCCCGTGCAGCGCCCCGGGAGGCTGCGGCCCCCGCAGGCCGTGGCTCTCCCTAACCCACTCCCCAGCCTGGGGAGCCCCCGAGCCGCGGTGCTGGGGCAGGGCGGCGATGGCAGCTGTCAGGGCGCTCCTCGCCCCGCCGCCGGCGCCCAGGCAGCGGCCGCCCTGGGCCGGCAGCGGGCCGGGGCCGCCTCGGGAGCCGGGAGCCCAGGCGGGCGCCATGCTACAAACCAAAATGGCTGCCCCGGGGAAGGGAGCCCCGCTCGGGCCGTGAGGGGCTGCGCCTCCGCCGGGCCCCGCCGCCGCCGCTTCCCCCGCCGGCCCCGCCGCAGGTACCGTGCCCGAGCCCGGCGCAGGGCAGCCGAGGGGCCCCGCTCTCGCCGCCCGATGGCGGCCCAACGCCCGCAGCCCCCCGGGCCGGCCCCGGCCCCGGCCCCAGCCCCGTTCGGGAGCGCGGCCCCGCACGGAGCCCGCCCGTACCTGCAGCTCGGCCCGCTCCACCTCCCAGTGCGCCCTCTCCATCTCGAAGCGCGCCCACTCGTGCTGGATGTAGTGCAGGATCCCCGGGATGGTGTAGTGCTGCGGCCGGGACAGCTCGGCGGGGCCCGCCGCCTCCTGCCCGGCCGGGGCCGCGGGGCCCTGCGGCTGCTGCTGCTGCTGCCCCCCTCCTCCTCCTCCTCCTCCGCCGCCGCCGCCGCCGGCCCCCGCGCAGCCCCCGGCCGGCTGCAGGTTCACGCTCCCACCCGCCTGCGGCGGCGGCTGCTGCGGTCTCGGCGTGGCCGCCATCCCGCCGCCTCCTCCTCCTCCTCCTCCTCCTCCCCCGGCTCCGGGGTGCTCGTCCATTGTCTGCGGGGAGCCCTCCTCCTGCCGCTCCTCGTCCCGCGGCGGGGCCCTGCGGCGGGGGGCCGCGGAGGGGGCGAGCGGCGCTGGGCGGGGGAGGCGGGACGGCTGCGGGGAGGCGGGGGGCTGCGCCCGGCCGTGCGCGGGTGTCAGAGCAGCGCCGAGCTGCCGCCGCCGGCCGCCATTACAGCCTGCAGCCCGCGGCCCACCCACCCGCGGCCGCCCGCCGACGGAGGGAGGGAGGGAGGGGAGCGGCGCGGCGCCTGCCGGGAAGCCGCTCCTCTGCCTGCCCCCCCCTCCCCTTCACGCTTCCTCCTCCCGGCCTGGCAAGGCGGCGCAGCGCGCATGCGCCTGAGGGAGGTGAGCGCCGTGCGTTGGGGAACGGGGGGGGGGGGGGGGAGGAAGGGGGAGCGGGCGGTGCGTCTTTCCCGCCGCTGGCGCGAGGGCGGCCGCGCGGCGCGGGGGTAACGGCCGCCATGAGGGGAGCGGCGCGGTGGGGGTAACGGCCATGTCCTGCCCGGCCCCGTCCTGCAGCTCTGGGAGCCGCCTCTGGGGCTGTGCGGGCGCGTCCCGCGTGGGCCGCCTGCTCCCGTGTGCCCCCTGCCCCCCCTCTGTCTCCAACACCTGAAGCCCGCGGGGTTCAGGTCCTAGCATCCACAGCAGTTCCGTGGTGCCCTTTGTTAGCCTTACGAGCAGGCAGTTGTAGGTTGTAAATTTAGGGTATGTTTCCGGAAGCTGCCTAGTCCTTAAAGCCATTACAGCCATTATAACCATGCTTTTTTTTTTTTTAATGAACTCATCTTCATGGTGTTTCACATTCTGTGTAATGTTTCCCCTCCTTGATGGGGACAGAGTGCATAACACCCTTCAAAAGTTCTTACCACACGAAGGCGGTTTTGTGAGAAATCTGGTTTATTTCATCTGGGGCGGTTGTACCTGTGATAGCCGTGCTCTGGTCAACACCATGGTATGGGTAGGGGAAACTGCCCTGGCTGTGAGATTCTGCTCTGAAACAGCGTTTCCAAACTGCCACCATGTCCTATCCAAAGCAACAGAAGGGCCACCCCTTTTTGAGCAAGACAGGGATTTGGTTTTGCTTCTCTTGAAAACGCATATGCGTTGTACTCATGCCATAAGAATACGGACAGCGTCCTTACTGGGACTCATTCTTGACAGAGCTGTAATTGCATTAATTACTGAAAAATAAATACCGCTTGTCTCAGTACTGGTGTTTCCTCTCTCTGCTAACCTCTCAGGTGCATGTTGCTATTTCAGTGGTTTTACCAATTCTTATCCGACTTCTCCATGAAGTCATTTCCTACAACAAATTCATCATACGTTTTTCCTTTTTCCATACAGATTACCATACTATGTAAATCCAACTCTTCAGCATTTTTTTTTTCATTCTTCACTGGCAGTATCAAATCATTACCAAAAATTACGCCTTACCTCACAATCAGTTTAGCCTTTTGTTTAGCTTACAGTCTTATGAGACATTCCTTGTTGCTGAATACATGGGAGTTACTGAAATTTAATTCCGTTACTATATTCAGCCAGCATTCTGACAGCCGAACAGCAAAGGAAGACTTTTTTACTCTTTCCTTCCTCCTTGACTTCCCTAGATTAGCAAGGCTGCTTTTTTTAAAATTCCTGATCCTGAAGTGAAACACGGTGATTTACTTTAAAGCCACATAGACCAAGTTGTTTCATCTTCAGATGAATTGTAATTTGAACAATAATAAGATCTAGAATACAAAAATGATCCCTATTACCAATAAGTACTAATGATACTACATGTGGCTTTTGTTAAAGCCTTGTCCATGGTCAGAACAAAAATAGAACGAGAGTATCAAATAAATGAACTGTCTTCATTTGCTACATACCTTTTTTTACAGTAAATTCATAGACAGCAAGTTCAGTAGGCTAATGTATACCTCAAAAATATTTGTTCACCTGCTGTCACATGCTTGTAGCTCTATTATTTGACTTTTTTATTATCCTTATTGATGCTTTAATTCCAGTTTAACCCATTTTGTTCTACATTTAGCACACAGATGAAATGCACTTAAAACCTCTGCATCCACAAAACCAACTTGTTTATAGAGTGGGACAATACAGTGAATTACTGGCTTATAGTTCTGATAAATGTTTATTTTATTCTTGGCAAAGGAATTCTGTAAAGATGAAGTTGTGTATTTCTTGCTTGCTATACTTAACCTCTTTCATTTTTAACTCAAAGTCATAAAATGTTGCTGAACTTTGTTACAGCATAATAGTTAAAATGCTTTTAAGTCTGTGGCCATTGACTAGAGTGGTTTTAACTTGACAGACAGAAATCTAATTTGGAATAATAACTGTGCTGCCCAAAGTCGCAAACTTGGGTTGTGTTTCTTTTTCTTTAATCATCTGTGTATGAGAGTATGCATGAATATTAGTGAAACCTTGGACAAAAATAAATTAAGTGCTTGTTGCTTGTAGTGGAGGAGTAATTAAAATTGTTTAAAATGTTTAATATAACTGCCTGTGAAATCTGCAGGGCTGGCCACACTGGAGATGTAAGACCTCCTTTTTATCCACAGAACAGGTATTGCAGGCTTTGCCTCTCTCAGAGGTCTCAACCAGTATCTGAAAAGATTGCATTTAGGGGTGTGACTCGCGAGCTGGGACAGCTTATGTTGAGGTGTCTCAGGCGGTTATGCTGCCTCCAGAGCTGGCACGTCCTGGAACCATTGCAGTTTCTGTTTCAGCCATCTGCAGCAAGCCGAGCAGAGTTGAGCTTATTCTGAAATACGAGGCTGGAGTTACCTATACGGACAGGTGAGGAGGGTGAGCCTGCATGGGGCAGCAAAACCCAGAAGCATCTGTCCATGAGCCATATAGTCCTTAGTCCTTCTGCCTATCTGCTGGTTCAGAATGAGCCAAAGCCATTGAGTTGTAGCTCTTCAAAGATTCCATCAGTCTACCACTGTGAGTCACAGAAGCCAATCACGATACCAGTTTTCTCTCACAGATATTCATGTGCAGGAGATAATTTAACAAGGGTGAGCTCTAACACAGCATAACACGTATCTAAATCACAGTAGCTACACAGTATGTAGTTTATGTGTGTGCTAAATTATCCACACACAAGAAACCTCGTTTAAACGAAATGAAGGAGAGAGCTACTCAGTCGTTCAGTGAGGTACTTGGTTTTGACGTTTGCAATTTCGAGACATTTTATGTCTTCTCTGTGTGAAACCTTTGAGGGTTTTGTTTCTAGGGTGTCTTCATTATGTCATAGTTCCATAGGTGTTTTGTAAATCAGGTGCACGAGAAGCACTTACTGTAGGTTATTCCAGACAAAATTTGAAATGCGTGGTTGACTGTCACTCAGAAAGCTGAGCTTGACAGTCCATCAGGATCTGGGTACTTCCTTCAAGTCTTCTGCTCGTAAGCCCATTTGTGATGCAGATAGTTGTCCAGTGACCTGGAATGAGACTGTTTGATAGAAACGAATAGGCAGCCTTCAGATAGCAGCATCTTTTCATTACTAAAATGAGCAAAATAATGGCAGTGACATGAAAGGCTTGCATCACGTCACCAATTCTCTTGAACTATTTGATTCTGTATGCAAAAAAAGCACAGTAATTCATGTTGGATTTGTGTGTATATGCAAGCATACGTGAAGGAAACTGCGTGAGAACGCACAGAAAAGCATGTAGGAGCTGTACCAGAAGACACAGAACTGTCTTTGTGAGTAGAGTGCTCATAACTGATCACAGAAAGTAGTTTCTGACATACATGGAACTAGAAGGAGTGGGAGATTCCTCGACCATCAACATGCACAGGTGTGTTTTTGTTTTATTACACTTCACAGACCTCTTTACATCATACATATGCAAAACATTTTAACATGTTTTCTGTATCTGAAAGATAAGATGAAAGAAGAAATAAACTGAGAGAAACAAAACAGTAATTTCCTGTTTTTGCCTAAACTGTACAAGAACATGTTTTTATTTCTACACAGGTGAATTTTAAAAATAATTATTTTTAAAGAAAATAAAAATAACAAGATATTTTTAACACTGGAGTTACTCTCAAAGCCAGATTCCACAGCTGTACTTGCATGCTTTATGTAATGTATGGATATATTTATTTTTATATGTAAATCATATAGAAAATTTATTCCAGTATTTCTGCACAAAATCGTGTGCTTGTACTATCATTTGTGTGAGAAACATTTACAGGTAAAATTTCCGAAGCTGTCTTTGAGGCTCACAGGAAAAATACAGCAACAACTAGCGACAGTAGCGGACCTCTCCCCTGCAGCTGTTAATCACCTACTGTAATACTGCGAATGATGACTGTGTCATAAATTACGGGTGACACCTTTGAGTACTGCTATGGTTCTACCACTGTTAGAGCATAATTCATTTTTTTTAAATACCGATTCTGGATAAGAGCATTTGTGAGGATTTAAGAAATAATAATTTGAGTCTGAAGTATTTTAATATGTAAAACAATCCAGGGCACTTGAAATAATACACAGATACATTAGTCCTAACACCAGCATTAACCAGATTAACCATGTAGAAAGATTAGGTTAATAAAGGAGTAATTAGGATTAGGGGCCAATCCTGCAGTAGGATCCATGTGTATCAGTTCTTCAGAGTCTTCTGTTATATGTCGTGCACTGGTAACTCAAAATACAACAGCTCTTTTAAGGTTCCTGAGGTGGTTTTAGCATCCTTCTTTCCTCTGGTCTCACCTCAGTATCTGCAGCCCCGTAAAGCCTCAGGTTTTTACCCTCTGGGGAAGGAACTGCGTGGCCGAGTTGCTTGCCAGCAACAGGCCTCGCACAGCACCTGCACCCCGGTGCTCCACAGCTCCATTCGTGCCCAGGGGATTCAAATAGCCTGGAGACAGCTTGCCCAAAGCTAAGGACTCTTCCTTTATAATTCAGCAGTACCAGACAGAAAGAAGCAACATAAAACTAAGAAAAAAGAAAAACTGCGTATGTCTTTATCATGGTCTGTTTAGCTGGGACAGACGTGTTTTGCAGCTGGTAGGAACAACATGCCTTTTGGCCCCTTGTGCCCAACCTTGCTTGTTTTTCATTAAAACAATGGGCAGCATTTCTGAGATCGCTCCTCTTTCACATCATAACCCTTTAGCATTCAGTCTTTCTTTTGGTCCTGTGTCTCATCTGGAAGGAGTCATCTATTGTTATCCTTACTTGATACATCTCATCGCATTGCACCTCTGTAACTTCAAGCAGTAGTACAAAGTGGAACAGGGGGGGGGAAATAAGAGCCATATGTGAAATGCAGAAGAGATTACATAGATAGGTACTTTCTCATTTCATCATAAATGTCAGCCTGAGCTGCTGTCTCGCAGGGAAGATCCCTTAATACATTTCCATCTGGGCCTTTTTTGTCTTAATTGCCTCATTTGTTCTTTCTCAGAGAACCACTTCCACTCGTTGAAGAGCCCAGAGCCCAGCGGACAAGCTGCGTACACCACAGCAGCATTTATTAACATTCTGACTCTTCCGTCTGAGGGAATCAACAAAAAGGCACTTTCTTCTTGACATAAAGACTTCACTGTGTCTGCTGGAGGTGAGAAAACAGACTGTCAGGGCTGCAAACAGACTCTATTGTCATTTGTATTGATTCTGGACTCCTGTTCCCTGGAGGTGTCCTACAGACAAGAGCAGATCAAAGAGGAATTTACAGAATAAGAGGGATAAAAGCTTTCTTGCATATGTAGGATAATGCAAAGGAAGAGCTCTCCCTGCTAGCTGATACATCCTCTGGTATTTTCCTTCATTTGAAGGACTTGTGAAGATTTAAGGGAGAAAAAATGGTCCCATTCGTCCTTTTCAAATGTCTTACCTGTTTGGAAGACAGTAAAGGAAAGAGGATTAAAGAATTCACTACTGATATTAACTCCCAGTTAAGGCTGTATTTCTGTCTAATGGCAGCATGTCTGTTAGAAAACAATCCAGTCAAAAGGTCCTGTTTTTTTCTGAGGGTTTCTTTAAAGCAGTAAAACTCCTCCCGGGCTGCTTTTCTGAAATAGGTCTGTTGAACCTGCATATCTGTTGCAGGAATTTTTCCTTTTATTGTTGACTGTATTTTGTGGATCTGGTTTATGATTTCTTCGCTCCCACATCTAATTTTAAAACAATTTAAATTATATGGTAGTTTCACAAGGGTAAGGAACGCCCCTACAATATCTTCTAATCACTTACCAGGTCTAATTAGTGAAGATGCATTTAGTATAGGAATCTGTATTTCTCTGCGTAGTAAGTAAACCACAGCACGCTGCAGAGAATGTGATCGCTTTCTTCAGATAGCAGTGATGGTAGCAGAGGTGGCTTTTCTTTCAGGAAATAACTAGGTGACCAATACTAATGAGAAGCAAGCAATAATTAATGGTAGCACGATATACTGGGATTCCTTGTATCACTATCATGTAAGATTTAGATGGTATCACCCCTAAATATAGCCAGTTTGTTTAGGTTGCCAGTAATATGAGGCAGCACCTATGCAGCATGCCTTGTTATAAAAAATCAGTAGATGGCTAAATACCTAAGAAGCTGCTGACTCAGAGATCAATGCTGATTTTTGCATTTTTCCCTTCTGCACTGTTAAGATACACTGTTTTTTTTTGTTGTTTTTTTTTTTAAACAAGGAGCTACACCGTATTATTCTGTGGATTCCTGCTAAAAGTTTGCCCTTTCTTGCAGGAACTCTGGGATCTTAGGAGAAAATATTTGCATTTTACCTTGGTAAAGCACCAGGCAAGGAGCAAGTTTTCAAAATTGGAATAAAGAAATAGCTTTTGCAGTATTTGCTGTGTTGCCAGTGTATAAACTTCAAGAACGTATAGGCCAATAAGTCTGTGATCCAAACAGAGTCAGATGGAAAATATTACAGTGACTGTTTTCTGGTATTAAAAAAAAAAAAATCAACAACACAGAATTTATGCATTATGGAGTTTACCTTTTTTTGCATGCTTTCAAAACATGAGAAAAAAATATATATACTTTTTTTTTTTTTGTATAGCAAGCAGATTCTGTTTTTTGACAGCCTTTTTCAATTGTACCCTGTATGTGGCAGATTTATATTCTACATTTTTATTTCAGTGGCATCATGTGGATTAATACTTATTTAGATTAAGATTAAGCTGTTTAGAGTAATTAATGTGAACAGATTTCTCCTTAGAAATTCCTCCTAAGACCCACACTTAGTTTTCATTACGTGTAGAAGCTACCTTTAGCTTCAATATGGGAAAGCAGATTGGAAAGAGTGGATTGCAGCAGCTCCTGGTCCAGACCAAGATACATGCTGATAACCAGATATGTGGGAGGCTTAAATTCTGTGCTAGAGAAGTAGCCATGTACAAGGCCCATGCACATCCCGTTGTCTTCTCTCCCTTCAATCTGATGTCAGGAAGGTATAAATTAAGTTTTTAAATAATAGCTAACAAAACCAACCAACAACAACAACAAAAAAAAAACCAACACCAACAAACTGTCCAATTTTGCTTTTTTCAGCTGCATTAATTTTATGATTTGGTATTGGACAAATTTCTCATAATGTTTCCAAACCAGTTAGCATGCAAGAAGAAAATGTTGAGTAGATTGAGAAAATGTTGAGAAGTAGAAGGAGAAATTGTGTACTCCTGGAATTCCCAAAATTCTACAAAGCAATTAAATTGCCCGATAATGGAGAAGCTTTGATACTTTGTGATTATCTGTATAGAAAAAAAATATGGAGTATTACTCTTGGAGTATGTGCAGAAGATTAGAGGTTTGTTTTTATTTCCTGTGTTCTTTATTTTGGAAATAAACTTATATATGTGCAAATATGGGCTGGCCAACTTCTGGAAAGTCTTTTATAACTCCTACGTATTTTTTTTTTTCCCTCACAGAAATACTTTTAATTGCTGCATTGACAATTCAGATCTACCACTGAGATCAACAAAAAAGCAATGATAAAGTTTTTTCTTATGGTGAACAAACAAGGCCAAACGAGGCTCTCTAGGTATTATGAGCATGTAGACATTCATAAAAGGACAATGCTGGAAGCTGAAGTAATCAAAAACTGTCTCTCCCGTTCAAAGGATCAAGTAAGTTTTTGTACATTTTTTGTTAAATGTTTTATTGTATTAATGTTGCACATCTTTCACATAAATAATTCTAGAAAAAAATCAGTTTCCATTGCAGGTCATTATTTCATTTGCACCCATGAAGAAAAAAGTTGTTTCTAGATTGTGTTCTTTCAGATTAACTATTATTCTGTATTGAATAGATATTTTTTTCTGAGGCTTACAATGATTTTGGACTGTTCTCTATCACTGTCATGAAGATTCTTCCTGTTTGTTTGAAGAAGCTCAGAAGTCCAGGAAGAATTTATTTTCTCCTGTTATTGCTTGGCTAGTAGTGATCAATAGATAGACATCAGTTTTCTTTGCTGAGAAGATAGTAGGTGTAGCATTGACAGCTCCAAGTTTAAAAAACAAAACAAACAAACAAACAAAAAACTTGCCAGAGAGGATTTCAAGTTGTGATATAATGATATAACTACCTAAAACAGAAGTGTTTTTGTTTTTTTTTTTTTAAACACATTTTTTTCAGCCTTCATAGGCATGAAATGCTTTTTAGGCATTTTTATTAAAAAAAAAAGTTCACAACTTGTTCATGAAAGTCAGAAAACTCGGATGGTGGAAGTTTGTTAGATGACAGTTGAGATCTTATGGCTCACAAAAGAGAGCCACTGGTTCTTCAAGAAAAGTACCAAACTTAGCAAAAATTTCAAGCACATTGACTTGACTGAGGAGGAATGTGTGACTTGAAATATCAATGAGGTATTTCGGTTTGTGTTCTGAAGTCACGTTCTTTTTCATTAGTTACATGTGTGTTGGAACAGTGGCCCTACCCTATTTAGTTCTAGAAAGCCTCAGAAAAAATCCTAGTCCCTATAAATTACTCCAGTTCATGGAATTGGCAGTGGCTAAAGAAATTAACTTGTGCAAGACATCTCTGAACAGAAACTTCACCAAAAGAATTAACAGTATGCTGCCATTTCAAGAACTGAGCAAAACATTACTTAAAAAAGGTGACGTGTAAAGCGGTGTATAATAGCACCATCTGCTGGCTCCCTGTCCTATGGTGAACTACGTGCGGATTTCTCCCGTGTCTGGACTTCTGATACTCTTAATATTTATAATAAGAATACTGATCATTGTTAAATATGAAAGTGACCTTCAGTTTGTCTCTTTTGGAAGTGCTTCTAATTGAAAACATAGGAAAAATATCGACTGTCCTTCAATTCTAACCCTGAACAAATCATTTCAGTTTACCTACATAAAAAGTGGCACCATGTTTTCTGTCAGTAGATGAAAGGTTTCATGTAAAAGTTACCATACCTTCTTTCAAGTCAAAATTACTTGATGGACCTTGGGAAATCCATTGTTTTTTGTGGGTCTTATGTAAGTGAAAGCTTAGTAATGTCACGATTAAATGGCAACTACTATGTTTGACTGATTTTGGTTTTGCCTAGTGCTCTTTCATTGAGTATAAGGACTTTAAGCTGGTATACCGGCAGTATGCAGCCCTCTTCGTTGTCGTTGGAATCAATGAGACAGAGGTAAGAAATTATATTCACTCTTGAGATATAGGCTTGTATTAATCATAGGCAAGAAGTCAAGTCGTTTTCCAGTATGGAATTTTGCAATGTCTATTAGAGAATTTCAAGTAGTCATTGCAAAAAGAAAAAAAGTATACAAGAAAAACACCTATGTTTGACTTCAATCTCTAGCAATAGCCTGAAATATTATCATGAGACATTCTGTATGAGCAATAGCCTGAAATATTATCATGAGACATTCTGTATGAGCTCTATACTGATTCTGCTTTCTAAACGTACGTTTGATTAAACATAAATTTTTAGGGTGAGGTTTCTCAGTAAATGTCAGCATTACAGCCAGATCAGTGGTCTTCTGTGTAGTAACTTCCTAACTGCGCGCTGTTTTTATCCTCCTTGACCAAAGAAAAAAATCCACAACATGTCAGATGCTAATTTATTTTACTTTTTAAACAAAAGTGGAAAAAAAAGGTATCTGACTGAAAATGGGTAAGTAATGTTACTTAATATGTCTTTAAGGTTCAGTCAGCCCTCAAATGTAATAAATTACATTGAGTAATTTATATTAATTTAAAACTTTCTCCTGGAGACCTTAATGGGGTGGTGTGGAAGGTAGCTGCTGACTACAGTGGTGTCTTCAAGGGTTATAACTGCAAGCAATTCAGGGCACATTCTTTTGGCTTCACTGTACCACAAAAAAAAAAAAAAAAAATCCATCAATACTGCTGCAGCACAGTGTCTCTGTACTGCAGTGGGCAGGTGTGACTTCAGCATGGCTAGGCATAGTGCAGCTGCCTGAATTTGTCTAGGTGATGTGGGGGATGGCAGCAGCCCAAGAAAGACAAATCCATTTGGTTCTGCAGTGCTTACTCAGGTGGCTGCCCTGGCCTGGCCCAAAGCTTAGGAGCATGAGCACTTGCCTGCTCTTGGTTGCTCAGCGAGATGTAACCACACCTCCTCTTGCTACAACAGACAGTTTGTGCACTTTATTGTAGTACTTCATGTCATGTTCTAGTTGGTTTTCATACATCACGAGCTGATACAACACTAAGAATACTACCATTATGTCTATCTGTTCATTTAACATTCATTCATTTTTAATTTAATTTCAGAATGAAATGGCAGTATATGAACTAATTCATAATTTTGTGGAGGTTTTGGACAAATACTTCAGCAGAGTGGTAAGTGAGACATTGAATCTGTTACAAAATATTTCTCCTCTTTTAAAGTTCTAGTGAATTATAGGTAATAAATCAAAGTTGGTTTATATTAATGTAGATTTTTGAAGACTTTAGCATATTATCACTATAAAAAAAAAAAGTTGATTTTTCAGAGTAGTAAAAGCATACATGGGTTATAAATCATCAGACAAGGAATACCAGAAATAGTTCTGGTAGAAAAGCATGTTTTTATATGCTTATACTCAGGGGTTTCTCTAGGTCATCTACTCTCAAAATAGCCACTGGCATTCTATGTTTTAAAGAAATATGAGTTTTTTTTCTCGTTTTTTTTATGTTCTTAGTATAATGTTCCCAAAATACTTAATTCATCATAAAGTAAGTATAAGCATTAAACAGGGAGCTGACAACACTCTCACTGAACAAGATTATAGGGACAGAGCAAACAAAACCTCAACAACCAGCCTGTACTTGTGTTCCCCATATTGTTGTTGTGCAACAGTTGGTATCTGATGTAACAGCTATTGTAAAGACGGTCACTTTGCTGAGGATTTGAAGACGGAGGTAGCTCCAGTTAAAATGACACTCTCCCTTTTGGTAGAAGAGGTTTTGTTAGTTTTTACAAAACTGGAAAATGCAGCATTATAATGCTGGTTAGAACATGTGCAATTTAATGCAGGATTTGAAATAATCTGGTTATAAACAAATTCATCTTAAATAATACTTGGGCACAATTTTAGTTTGGCTATACTGAGGTGTGTTAGATACCCATCTCACAAAAGAGGACTGGATAGTTTCCTCTGTTGTCCATCAGTTTGAAGGTATTACGTTGGTAAATACAGATGCAAGCAAGCAGTATGCAGTGTTTATAATGTTGACACCGCAGTACTAGCACCACAGCAGATATGGCAGAGCTTCCTGTGTGAATTCAAGGACATGCTTGAGAGAGTCTTCTAAACTCCTCACTGTTTAGATGCCTGACAAATGCTTTAGGATATTATTTCAACTACTGCTGTACCAGCCTTTTAAAACTCATGGTACTGAGTATATCACTTTCTTACTGTATGAAGTTCAGAATGTATTTCTTAAAATTGTTACGACTGCAGTCTCAACCTGAGCAGTAATAACCAGGAGTGGAGTCTGATCCCTGCAGCACGGGAACACACAGTAGAATTTAAATCTTACTTATCTAATTGAGGTAATAGTTGCCAACCACTTCTCAAATTTTATTTTCTTTACTTAGGCAGAGCAAAAATAGATTTAGTTCTTATATGTGCAAATATGTGTATATAATTTCTTGACCACATATATCACACAACCACTGATATTGTTAGAAATTTGCTGAATTCATCCTAACAGATTTTGGTATTTCTCCTAGCATATAAGTTTTAAACTAGGGGAAGTGAAAAGTGGGGTAGTTGAAATCTCATGCCATTCCATGGTTCTATTTTTAATAGCCTGTAACAGTAAATGGCAGAACATTGGAGAGGGCTATAATTCTAGCTGGAGTTTCTGACAGAAACCACAGGACAAAAAAGTATATGTTTGTACTATTATGGATTGATGTTTAGGATTTGCAGAATTTTAGAAGAATCCCAAATTATGATGATGACAATGGAAACAAAACTCTGGGAAAGGAAAGAACATCTGTCCTGCTCTAGAATGACATTTTGTCATCTATTATTTTTAGGTTTGTGAGCTTTAAACGTTCTCACATGCTCTATTTTTATCTAATGGAGCTTACAGAGCTTGAATTCCCTAATAGAATTAGGGGGAAGCTTTCAAAGTTGCAAGTGAGATACAGTTCTGAGTCCCCTTCACTTTTGTAACAGCTACCTAGGAAGAACTCCACTTACTATTTAGACTAGATCCTCCAATGTTTTCCACTCTTTTTTAATATGAAGGAAGTTCAAACTGATCAGACTCTTAAAATATAGTTTTTGTGAGGCATAAAAATTCCCAGCTGAAGGATGGCAGGGTCACTCGGTGAAGACTTGTCACCTTAGACCACAGAAGTAGTCGTACTTCTGTCAGCGGGAACTCTGCCTAAAATTCCAGGGCTAGACTGTGAATGGAATCCATGTCAGCAAGTACAATAAACTCCCTCAGTTGCAGATAAAAACGTTCTGTGGGAACAGACATCTTCCTTTCAGCAGAGACTGGAGAAGTTCCACCCTAACTGTGCAGGATCTGAGGCTGTGATTAATTGTTTCTAAATTTAGCCATTTAACAGCCACCCAAGTTAGATGTTCGGTCATCCTATGCTCCCATTACAGGGAGTGGAGACAAACAAGTATCTCTAGAAAGTGAGTCATGTCTCAAGTGTGCTGAGTCAACTGGGGAAGATACCCATCTTTTCTGGCTGCAGAGAGACCACACAGGCTTCTCAGCCAGACACATCAGTTAAATGAATAAAATGATGTTATAACTTGAGGCCAAGACTGCAGGAAGAATGGTGTTATTGGGGCTGGAGCAGTAGTTAGAAGTGGTAGGGGTCCAAAGCTTAAGCTTCTCTCCCCCAGTAGATCCTGCCACAGCCATGCATATACATTGTCTACATTTTTCTGTTGAAACGATGTGCAACTTATTTGGTTTTAACTGTTTTATGGAACAGAATCAGAGAATTCATTCCGGCTGGAAAAGATGTGCATCTTGTCCAACCTTTTACCTAGTACTGAAGTCCGCCACTAAACCATGCTGCTGGGTTCTAAACCTACATGTTTCTCAAAGACCCCCAGGGATGGTGACCCAACCACTGCCCTGGGCAGCCTAGGCCGCGCAATCCTTTCAGTAAAGAAACTTCTCCTAACATCCGACCTAAACCTCCCCTGGCACAACTTGAGGCCATTTCCCCTTGTCTTATCACTTGGTACTCAGGAGAAAAGCCTGATCCCCACCTTGCTACAATCTCCTTTAAGGTAATTGTCAGGTACAATAAGATCTCCCCTGAGCCTTCTCTTCTCCAAGCTAAACAACCCCAACCCCCTCAGCTGCTCCTCATATGAATTGTAAACTTGAAGTTACTCTCTTCTTTGAGGAAGAGAGAATATAGGGCTGGAGATACCATCATTAGAGGTGCTGTTTCTCTATGCAGTCATTGAGATAGAAGTGCATATATTCCAATCATTGATAGAGGTGACCTTGTTTTTTCCAAGTGAAAATTTCAGAACGCTAGCTTTTGTAATAGGGGTAGGTAACATATCAAAAGCAGTTTCTGTTCTGCCCGGAACCGAAATATGAGTCATCCTAGACATTTCATTCTATTTTGAAGACTTCATCATCTAGTAGGATTATGTAATGTTTAATGACTGAGATGAAAGATCAAACTGTAACTAATGGTTGTGTTTTGTTTTGTTTTGTTTTTTTTTTCTTTCAGAGTGAATTAGATGTATCCTTTTTAGTGTCAGAAAGATATTTGTCTGTCTTTTTCGTGGCTGTTTTACCTCATACTCTCCTCAGAGTGCTGACTGAAACAGTCAAGACAACGCACAGGTTTCACAAATTTTGCCTTTAAAATAACAACATTTTGGTATCTGTATGAAAGCATAGGTGACGTTCATGAGAGTCTCCTAGTTACATTTTCAGTCATCAAGGTAAGCCTCATACCAGTTGAAGAAAGTCATGGAGAGCTTGGTTCAAGAGAACTAAGTAACAACAACATCTAGGCATGAAAATATGTATTCATGGGGGAACTTTCAGGCTGAACTACAGATTACTTCTGGGTTTTATTTTAAGTTTACTTAAATAGATACTGACACGAGCTACAAATAATAAGTGAATGTTACAGCTGTGCCTTCAGCCAAATAACAGAGCAGTAGCATCATTGTAAGATTAGATTTGTGCTATGATCTTTCTTTATAGAAGTCTAGGTGAGTTTTACTATCTATATCAATGGAAAGAGAGAAGGACCTTAGAGGGAGAAAGTTAGGGTACCACACCTTGCCACAGATACTATAGATATCTACATTTGTTTTCCTTATGGATCCATTTGCTCATGTGTATGATTTGCAGGGTATTTGCTTAAAATATAATCAATACTGATCTAAAACCAAATACAAACATACACTAAATAGTAAAATACTGTCATTCTGGAATGAATTTAAGAATTAGTAATATATGAAGAACAGAAAAATGCCCTAATTTTTCTTGTAATTGTTGTCACTTCTTTATAGAAGAAAACAAAAGGAAATAATTTATTTTTACTTTTCTAAGTATTTGAATGATTAGCTACGTGCTGGAACTCTCTCTTATTTACTGAACTTAAATCTACATCTGTATATATACTGCAATGCCTTCCTGAAATTCACAAAACATTGTGGTACTAATATAACTCTCCTGGATTCACCTGGGTTAGAAAAGCGCAATAATGAAATTTCAGCATGAAGGAACTCTTTAGGTCTCTGATCATATCACTACATTTGTTTGTATTCAGTTATAGTTAAGGATCAGAATTAATGTTTACTTTGTGAGAACTTTGCAGAATTAGAGACTAACCCATCATACTCAGCAATTAAATAAAAATAGTTCTGTGTATCTCCATAGGGTATTACTTGGAGTATGCATATAGCTGAGTCTTTTTAATCATGGATTATTGTGAGTACTGATGGTTCTGAATTCTGCCTGCCTCTGGTCATTGTTTTCATCCTAAGATAAATTTTCTGTAGTTATATACCTACAGTTAGCACCAGTAGCTTAATTAATAGCTGAGAAAAGCTGCTGCATGTTCAGCAAGCTTCTGCATACAATGCTAGTTTGCACTGTTTAGAGAACCTATGGCACTATATGCTAACACTAACACTTGCAACTGGTGCAGTACTGTGTCTGAATGACTCCTGTAACACAGACAGCTTCTGCATGGCTCTCATCTGCATGAGGTAATGAATAGTAAGTATTTGGAAAATAAAAGGGTACGTTACTATTTATCTTTCTATTAAATACCAGCCTGAGAGAAAGTCCTCAAATCTTAGCTATGCAAATATTGGAAAAGCCGATGCCTAATATGTCTCTCCTCAATATGTACGACATATGCATGATGTACAGTTTTTTTTTCATTCAAAAGTGCGTTTTTATACGTTATACATTTCAAAAACTGTTCTAAAATAAAATATTTTACTTACGTCTATATATATACAAAATTTTTCTCTCAGGGAAAAAAATCATAAATTGAGAAGATATATAAAATAGTTCAAGTGAAGTGAGATATCCTCAACATTTAAGTGTAAAGCAGAGGTGTAGTGATGAAGTGGGCTCTTCAGAATTTATTTCTGACAATAGCTTGAATAGCAGATAAATGGGCCCAGAAGAACAATATAAGATCTTAACTATACACATCTTACACAGATGTTAATGCAGTGTAAACAACAATCCATCTATACACCTTTCAGAGCGCGTAAGATAATATGGGGTTAAACCATGGGGTTAACAGGGGGTTAAACCATTTCCCTTGCCAACTAGCCTTAGCTAACTCTTACATTTAATACAATTTGCTGATGGAGGAAGTACAGTCGAAATGTCTGTAAGGGCAAACACGAAGTAGTATTTACAAAATCCTTGTATACTGTGTGTCTGGCTGGAAATGGTCATTATTTACCATCTCTGTGTTTTTATTGTGTACATATCCATGTGAAGTTTCTTTGAAAAGTAACATTAGCTATTCTATATATAAAAAAAGTGTTTACTACCATGAACAATAATAGGAAGCTAAATGAAATCCAAAAACATGAGCATAATCACCCATGCACAGAGCAAATCCCAGTTAAAGGCTGTCACTGTCGTACAGCTGAAATGTTCTTCACTAAGCAACATTTATGTGGATTCTTAAAACTTTCCCAAGCTTAGTACATTACCCCAGTATTCATGGCACTGCAGCTCCTGTTAACATGAGGCTCCAGCTTCGTTTAGGTCCAAACTCACCAGTTCACCCAAGGCACCTTGATCTTAATTTGTGTAAGGGCCCAAGCCTGGGGTCAGCCTTCAGGAGGGCGACCTAGGACACAAGACAGGGAGCAGATTCAATTTGAATCCTGCCCAGCAGGTCTCATACCTAATAATTGTATGTACATACGATATATGCCTGTGTGATGCTAAACAATGCATGAACAACTGAAAAGTTATCTCATGCATACAGAAACAAACAGTGATTAGCTACTAGCCGGTCCAGTGACTACTTTTAGAGAAGCTGCATTTTTACAGGAGCTTTTGTATGAATTGTGTGTCATTGTATGATGTCTGTTTTAATTCTGGGATTGTCGGTCACATACTTGAGGGTACCTAAGATAGAAGCGTATAACATCACTAGTGTTTTTTTGTTTTAGGGCATTTTTTTGGTTTGCATCTGTGTGCTTGCACATGTGCATGAATGCAAGTGTGCGGTTTTTTTTTGTTTTGTTTTAAAGAATCGTGTTGTAAGGACAGTCAAGTAAACATGTAATGTAATTGTCCTAGTGGTGCTGGCTTCCCAGTGTGTTAATATTGCTAGGCAAGCCTCAGTTTTGTGCATGAAATAAGTGGGTGAAATTCTATGTGGCTCTAAAACTGCAGCTTGGGTAGTGTAGGAGCTACTTTCTTGGTGTGATGATGACAGACTATAAAAATGAAAGTGGTATCACAGAAGCTTTGTAGGGAACAATGTGCTGGTAAGCCTGGGAGTTTTTAAAATTACAGAAAGTTGGCTTTTCAGTTCCTTGAACTGGTGAAGCAAACCTTACTTGAAGATGTTAACATATGGAAGAAACAGTTACTTACATTCTCCTTGTGGGAGGAGGAAGGCAGGATTCTCTAGGACCAAGTATTTCAAGAATGTTGTCTTGATCCAGAAAACCTTTACATTCCATTTCAACGAGCTGCTGCTTCTAGGATAGATAAAAAGCTTTGATACAGGAAATACTTCATGCGAATTAAGTAGTAGCAAGAAAACTGAATGATGAATTTATAATAAGAGAATTTATAAGGATATATTTCAGATCATCAGAATAAATCAGAATATGCGGTATTTCTTGATCCTAGATTTAAAAAAACAAAACCAAAAAAACCACTCTTCAACCAACCTTTAGTTGAAAATGAATGACCAGGATGGAAATCAAAGTTCTGTAATGTTGTATATTCAGTAGCAAACCACCTGCCACATAAGTACTGCTGCTGTAATCTACAAAGATTGTGTTTGTGCTCCTGGGTGTGTTACTTGATCACAAGGTGTTGGCTGTACTTCATCATTTCTTAAACCTGTACACACCCTGAATTACTTGCCTGGAATATCCTGAGATATCTTTAAGTGTCTCTATATGAAGCAGTTATTTATCATGTGTAAGGCTTGAATGTGCCTCTTTCCTTTCATTCCCTTCTCATTGCCTTCTCTCCCACTTCACTATCCACATATGTGTTGTTTCAGGGAAGGAGACACAGGACTGTGTCACATCTACCTCCTTTTAGTATTTAAGTGCCATAAAACATAAAGACGCTTCATGAGACTAGAAAGTACCATTAGGGTCTTAATACACTTTAAACTACAGATGCACAGGTTAATAAATATTTTCTTCTGCATATTTGGTTAAATTGTCTGTTGGCCTCTACACAAACCTAGTGCAAGTGTAGGCAGCCAGGATTCTTACAGGAAACAAGACCTTAAATGGAAGCTCAGGGTGGTGTATATGTACACACCGTATAAAGCTGTTCCTGTTGCCAGTTGCTCAAACTGGCTTGTTCTGCTGTTTTTCAGCTGGGTGTGGATTTATGACTTCAGGACTTTAAACCCTGAATATTGGGGTCACTTGCCAAACCAGTGACAGGTGGGGAGGATGAGTGTTGCTAAGACTCAGAGATAGACATCCCTGGCTGGGCAGGGCAGGCAGACTTGAATGGCTAAGCAGTGTTTGTACAACAAGATGTAAGAGTAGAGAAGAGTCACAAGACTTACAGGAAGGGAAATAAGCCAAGATTGCTGACTGTGCAAGTCTGACAGTTTGCCAAGAACTGCATGGTAAAGTGAGGTGGGAACAGAAGTGAAAAGGAAGCCTGGATGTTTGGCTGAGGGGAGGGCATAAGCACTCTCGCTCCTCCGTTGGAATTGCAGTACCATGAATCACTTGGGTTGGTAGACTGCAAAAGCAAAAAGCCAGCAGGAGTCAGTTTGATTGCTTGTTGAAACTTGAACGGAATGTTATCTAACTTCGTGAGCAGATCCTCTGGCACTGTTTAGAGCAGGGTCACGGTTGATCTAAAAAGGAATAGAAGAACTCTCATCCTAAAAGTTCACATTACTGTAATAAGGAAATCATAACTTCTCAGAATAAAGTATTTGTGTAAAGACCTGTTTTTCTATTGAAAAGTAGAAAAGAGGAGGAAAATGTTCTTAAATCCTTAATCAGCCAAAGTAAAACAACTGCTTTTGTCTCTGGAACCACAGAAACTGAGAGTGTTAAAGCTTTGAGGACAGTACTGTTCCTCCGAATTGAAAGCTTTAAGCCTGATGTTTAGAAGCAGCATAGGCCTATGATCAAATTCAGAAGGAGGTCTGGTATGTAAAATACAACCTAAAATTAAATTAGGTGCTTCAGTTTAGCAAATTGGAAACTATCTTATGAACCATGAGCATCGACTGCAATAGTTTCTCCTCCTCAGTTAAGAGGTATAGTTATTATTAAGTGGTTATTATTACAGTTACTGAGTGGTGTGGTTATTTTGGGGGCTGAATTCTGCTATTACACATAACCTAGACACAGTGCTTGTGGTCAAGCAGAATGCACTCTTCAGAGAAGCTCTACAGTTGCTTACTGTGCTGCCCAAGCATGCAGTAGCACTGAGTTCAGCCCAGAGCATGCACAGCCATTCCAGAACAGCAGAGGAACCTAACAGCCTGCTAGCTGCAGTCTCACCAACTTGCATCTACAAATTCACCCTACAATTCAGCCAAAACAAGTTCAAGTCTTCCCATCTTTTAGAACAGTGGTCACAGACAGGGCTGATGAGACCATGCTTTATTGGATGCAGCAGGAACTGTCACCAAGACAGGGACAAAAGCTTAAGCTTCTCTCATCACTGAGATGATGAGATGTCAGCACCGAGATGACAGCGTTATACATAAGATTTTACGGAACAGCCTTAAGTAGAAAGCAGCAGATACAATTGCTATGATCTCAGCTAAGCTTGGCTACTGAGGAACGTGGGTTTGGAATTCCCCAGGCTGAGGGAGGACAGCCTGCAGCCTCTAGGGTTCTCAACAAAAGACGAGCAGCATCTTTATCATGGTGTTTTGAAAGACAGCCAGTCATTTCATCTCAAGTAATGACTTGGGCTTCTGTATCTGAGAGAAACACCTACAGCAAAATCCCTCTCTGCACTCTTAAGTACTGGCTTCAGCATCAGTTGTCTGTAAGCTGTGAGTTACTGACGGGTCTAGCTCTCACCATTCGTTGCAGAGGAAGGAGCTTCTCAACCTGAATGAGGTGCCTTCCCTTCTCAAAGAGAAGCTAATAACACAGACACTGGCATGTTCAATGCTACATAACTAAAATCCTTTTCTTGAATGTGGATCTTAGGCTGCTGACTTTCGTGAGGTTTCGTGGTTGCAACACTGGTTATGACTGGTGTTTACCACCTAGCCAAAACAAATACATACAAATATCAGGCTCCTGAGCTGCTATCACATGCAGGTGATCTTCCACTGTTCCTGCAGTTTGGAGCAGTAATGCCTTAAAACACTGCAGTTAAATCTCCTAGAACTCATGAGACAGAGCAGCCCTCTGAAATGGCCAAGTTCAAAAAATGATTCAGATTATCTTCCTTCAGGTGAATGTTAGATTGTAACCATCTTTCAGAGTGTCTATTTAACTAGGAATCATTTATTTGCTTTTACTCCTGTGACTTACTACTAGAGTAGTGCATCGACTTTTAATGTCAGCAAGGTCCTCTTAAGAAGTTATTCTCAAGCAGATCAAGTAAATAGCATCAGCAACCTAGGCTAAGATAGATTATACTTGAGAATCCAATTTTTAAGAATTTGACTGAAAATGACTTTGGTTAGAAGAAATGCAGAATACCAGTATCTTTACATTCAAGGCCTTTTTCCTTTGGAAAACATTTCATATTCAAGGAATAGATGGTACTCAGGCACACAGTAAAACTAACCACCTACATATCTAAGTTCAGGTTTACCTTTCTTTTACTTCTCTGTGGTCATCTTCCAAGATGTAACACTTGGTGCTTTGACTTCTCTAGTACAAACTTCTGACATCTCTGTGGCCATGAAAAGGTGCCAGTTGTACTGACTCCTTAGTTCTAGGAAAACAAACAGCACGTAACTAGAATAAATTAATACCTACTTTGTTTAAGGCTTAATCAAAGAGAAAGACTAAGATGCCTAAGATTTTTCTCTAAGTTTATCTTCACGTTGTTTGAAATAAGCTTAACTCGTAATGTTTCTAGATCATGTTCAATTTGGATAGAGTGCACATCATTTTGGATGAAATGGTGCTAAATGGCTGCATCGTGGAAACAAACCGAAACAGAATCCTTGCCCCTTTGTTTGTGCTCGACAAAGTGGCAGAGAGCTAGGAAGACGCCAGACTGACTAAAGCATTTAAAGAAAGATGGTGAAATCATCAAGAGAATACCAACACGTCATTTTCTGATTTTGTAAGAGCAACTCATGCACTGTTCACATTAGTTGGAAGATATTTCCTGCTTCTCCTGTGCCCTACAAACCTAATGGGAAAACAGCTACTGTAAAACAGAGCCTTCATTTTCAGATGCAGCTTTCTATGGGCACAGCAGAAGCCCTTTTAGAACAGAAATATGTTTCTCAGCATTTTGTTTTAAATGGAAACTTACATGTGACTGTCTAGGTATCCCTTTGAATCATCTATCCTTCTAGCTGACCTAGAAGACAGAAGATATGGAAATATAATTTCAAACAGTTTCAATGCCTCCTTTAAGCAGCAACACTGTATTTTTTTTTTTCATACAAACATATTGTAAATTAAAGTTCTGTAACTTCTATGATTAGGTTCAACCTTCATCAAAAAGCTGGTCTCCTCTTCCACGGAGACACTCTTCTTCTGGATACAAAAAAAATGTAAATAACAGAAGTAGAGACGTTTTTAAGATTCCTGCATACCATGTAAGTTGTAACTAGAAGTTATACTTAAATAATATTAATAAAATAATTTAAATCCAAGTTTGATTCAATTTTATACATACTTGCTTCATAAATTACAGAAAATCTATTTCATTTTGGCACACCAGTGTATTTTTTTTCTTTGTCTGTGCATCACAAAAGACAGACAACCAGAAATGCGCATGCTTCTCAGGACCACGTAAGTACCAAATCAAGCCTTCCTTCTGTAGTAGGAGGACATTGCTACAGGAACTTCTGTTCACAGGGCATACAAAACGCTGTTTCATCTCCGTGTGTTACATTCCTTAAGGCACTGGAGAATTAGCAATCTGAAATGACTTTCATTTACCTTTCTAGAATGAAGTTATCTGGCTCCTCCTTCATAAACTCCAACACTCGGCATAACTTGACACTGAAAGAGCATGTGTCGTGCGGGCATTATGGTTGAAAGCACACTAAGTCACGCCTAAACTGCACCTACAAACCAGAGCATAACAAGTACAGGGTGAAGTGTGGTGTGGTGGAATAGTCTACAGCTTCCAATCTCCCACTTCTCTTCCTGCCCGCAAGCAAACCTTGGTGTCCTGAAAAGTAAGCAGCATCCCAACTTTTGATCTGAAGACACCATCAAGTGTAGGCATTTCTTGTGAATTACCACACAACCTCAGACTTACAATCAAGGACATTAAATATGCTGATCTCTGATCACAAATAACAAAGTACTAACTGATCACAATGCAGAACCCATCGGACCTGTATCTCAGCAGGTTGACAATGCAAATAACTTGTTTTCCTTCCCAATACAGGACAATGCTGAACAGTTAAATACATACACAAACACATTACAAGATCATTTCCTTTAATCAACAATGAAAATATTTCACAATGAAAGCAGAAAACGCACAAGGTATCCCTAAAGAACTCTCTAATTGGAAGAGAAAGTGTGCTGGGTTCATCAGGTTCATGAAATCCTAATTCCAACACCCACTCCTCAGGCCACTTCCCTCTCCCGCTGTTGCTGACCCCAGGTCAGGCTGGAGTCAGAGCACTGCCTCCAGACCACCAGGGGTGCCTATACTGGTAACCAGCTTTTCTGGGTGAGGTAGCTTTAAATAATGCCACACGAAGCACAAGTTCACGCCAGATCTGGAGCAGGCACTACATTTATGCAACCATTGGGCTGAAGCACAACAGTCACAGGAGTGCAGGGAATGGAGACTCCCCTTCAATTATGCATTGTGGAAATTTCAACGAAGATGCCTGTAAAGTCCTATAAATACCAGGCTATGAAAAGAAATCTGGCATCTGCCCGATTTGTATTTGAGGCAGACTCTTTTGGCAAGGCTCTCCCCAGCCGTGGTCCAAGCAAAAGCTATTACCAAAGAGAACTGGCACAGAACAAAGCTTGCCACACAGATTCAACTAAAATACTTTTTTTTTTTTTTTGGAAAACAACTACTTAAATATCTTTAAAGACACATATACATCAAAATCTTACTTGCTTTGTCTTACCATGAGCCATTTTCCACCAATAAATATCCCACCACATGACAAGCCCAAGACAGGCAATGCATCTCAAGTAAGGCTGAATCAGCTGCAATGTGTGACCCAGTTTTCACTCCAATGCAATAAAGAATTAAAACCTCAGGCCACGTGGACCCTCTGAAAAGCACAAGCACCAAAATCTGCCACATGCAAAGTTATCACTGCCAAACTACTTCTTAAGAAGTTGCTCTAAGTAATTTTGAAGGAGTTGAGTACAGAGGCAAGTTAGAGAGAGCAATTATTGCCATGTAATTCTTTTAAATCTTGAGAAAAGTGAGAGAGACTGTTCAGAAAACATACATAGTCTTAATAACATAAGAAATATTAATGAATTATTCAGAGGAGACAACTTTATATGTTGCAAACATTTTAATGATTACTGTTGAGCTTACACATGGGGTGTTTTGTTGTTTTTAAACTTCAAACTGCAACAAGTTAAATAAATGTTTATAATATACAAAGAAAATACAACCAAAAGTAAAACTTGCTTTAAGTGTGCCTTGCACTAGGAACCAGTGTTTTTTGTAATAGCTTTATCGTTGAGCTGCACAAACACACTTAAGGATTTGATCTTTATAGCAGGGCATTTGAGAAATCAAAATATATTCCCACTTGAAAGAAAAAAAAGGTTGTGCATGATTATATGCAAAAACCCACTAAAATACTCCAATAGTGCAGGCACCATTAAAAAAGAAAAAGCTGGAGATGCCCATTAACTCTAAGTTTTAAGGAAGCAAGTTTCTGACCAGTTAGCTTAAAGCCAGCAAAACAGGGATCAGTGACGGCAACTGTAGTGTACAAGGTATTAAATGACAAACTTTACACAAATACACTGTTAGAAATTTGTATCAGTGAACACTGAAAATCTGATGATCTGTTCTTTGGAACAGTCAAACAGAACCACCTTAATTTCCAGTTGTGCAAGCCCTTGAAGCATCACACAGTGTTCTGTGCCAATTTCTTGCTGGCTGTGTAGTTACAAGGATTTGTTTTGTCATTAGCAGCTAACAAACTTATTCCACATGTTCCTAAAGCCTCACAGGTGAAAAAAGGCAAGTCTCGTCAGAGCACAGCGTGGAGATCATATTTTTTGCACACAAACACAAGAGGCTTCGCTAGTATCAAAAAACACTTCCTCGTGTCCCGTATTGCAGTCAGCAACTCAGTTGAGATGGAAGCCTTTCTCCATGGTAGCAGCCAGCAGACGCTCCCTCATGATCTCCTCAGAAGAATACTCAGGCAACTTCAGGTAATGGACACACGTATTCACAGATGGATAACTTGCATCTGTAGCATCAACCTGAGACAAAGGAACAACAATTGATACTGCACTTCTTCACAATACTTCCTTTAGAAGTTAAAAGCTTAAGGTCCTTTAAATTTATGACATCTACCACGTATGTAACACCGACAAGCCACAAAACAGTGGCAACAGGAAATCTACAGACCAAATTTATCTTTTTTATGTATATGAAAAACTTTGTAATCAACTATGATGTCAAAAAACAGAACTGAAACAGAAGCTAGTACTGAAAACTTAGCATAGTGGTACGAATTAGAAAAGGAAAGAAAAATAATATTTTTTCTTAATGTAGCGAGGACTACATTCAAAAGCCAGAATGGTTGGTTTGAGAGGTAACCTGCAGAACCCATACCTTGCGTACAACGGTGAGCCGGGGATGTAGGTTTGCCAGTCCTCCTGGCGGGAGTGTTGAGCAGCCAGTGGTGAACTGGAGGAAAGCCTTTCTTTCATCTGAAGACATACCACACAGAACTCTCACAAACCGAAGAAATCCGGGGCTTAAAATAAATTAAAAAAATCAGTTAAGATGGCAATTCCATGATAAGTTTCTTTTTTTATAAAGCACCTTTAGTAAAATCTAAGTAGTCACTGTAAGCCTCCAATGCCTGTTCAGTAGTAGTAAGATAAGAACAGAACCACCACAAAGTGGGTTCTTTAATACTTCTTTAATCTCCTTGCTGAACATTACACAGAAAAATGCAGGTAGGTAAATTTTCTTCATACTTATCCTGAAGCATTATTTGGGTATTTTCTCTAAGAAGCGTTAGAGAAGTAGACAGAACTCAGACCTACCCTAAGAAGACTCTGACTAATCTTAAGACCTTTCATGCACCACTTCCATTTATGTATAATTTCATTTCTATCCTGCTGAAGACCATCATGCAGAAAAATACAAAAAATATAACAGACTGGAACAGAACTTCACAGAATCTCGGGCTGTCCAGATACCACTGCTTTCATCTATACCAGCCCAAGGAACAAGCAGGAGGACGGGGTATGTATGAAAAAAGCACTGCTTGCCACAACATGCCCTCAGGTATCAGAAACCACATCTCAGCTGCATCTTTGTATGCAGGGCAGGGTCAGTAGAAGAATCCCTCTGCAGAGCATCTTGGACTGACTAGAATCCTTCACATCGTACTTACACTAACACAGTTCCAAAAGTAATTTGTACTTCACAGCTAGCTACCAAACATGACAAGCAGCAGGAGAAAAATAAAAAAATAAAAATAAAAACGTTTATAAACTACCAAACTACCAAGACCACTTCCCAATAGGCAATCCCAAGTATATTTTTTGCCCACAGTACATTTTTTGTTTTAACTACACTTGAAGAGTAAAATAAAAAAAAAAAAAAGGACAAATACCAAGAATACCCAATTGAAGTTGTAACCACCACCACAAACAGAAGTCAAAACCCTGAAGCGCTACTTCTTAGTAGCTTGTATGAGTTAGCTGCCCTTCTACTTTGACTAGGTTTTGACATTTTAATACTTCCTTTTTTTTTTTTTTTTTTTTAAATCCTCTCATCACAAAGACCCTAAGTACCTTCTGTCTGATGCAACGTATATAACTATTTCATATAGGTATGGCAATTAGTTGGGGTTAATACTGGCTGAAGAGCAATTTGGCTTTTTCCGCCTAAGAAATATTCCGGACATTTTCACACATCATGCATCTTTTAGCTACTATTTTTAAATCACTTAGACGACAATTACCTGTCTCGTGTATATCCCAGCTTAGGTTCTGTATAATTGATGATATCCTCTGCTGCCCAAGAAGGCGACTGATTTCCACAAAGAATCATCTGAACTTCTTCGTGGCTGAAGGAACTCAGCTTCTCCATTGGGAAGACTCTATTGAAGCCATCTTTAATTTATACAAGACACAGTTACACGTGCAAGTCCAAAGAATGTTTATAAAAATAACATAAGCATTTCAATTGTACTTCAATCAAATCAGAATCAACCAACAATTTCTTAATCAATGAACAAAGAATCTCTTCAAGGTTAACAATGGCATAAGTAATGAAATGCTATGAAATGCATCTCTTACCTGCTACATCCTTAATTTAAAAGTTTGTGTTTGAAAGCGATTCTAAGCTACTACTTTAAACCAGGATACCCAGAACACCGCTGATTCCATCTAAATACACACATATATTCTGCCATAACGAAAATTACCTCGGAATGCCTCCATCTGTTTCTGTATA